CCCATCGAAACAGAATTGACAACCTTGGTCAAACCCGATTGATTATAATTGAGACCATAACTAACCAAAAGACACACGTATATAAAAAGGACAATGAAGAGTAGTTCCTAGGAAAAAAATATGTGTTTTTCAATTAAAAAAATTAAAACTATGTAAGAATGAATTTGATATAATCTGATTGATTTGACAAGTTTAAAGATTACTTAATAAAACGTAATTTGACTTAATAAAATCAGAAAAAATATAGTTTGACTCAAGAAAATTTCAAGATGATATTTTATTTTAAATGTGAAAACAACAATATATTGGATCAACTCGTGTTAACCTAGTTTAACATATCAAAATCTTGAGTTGAATTATAAAATTATGATAACTTCATTGAAAATAAATAAAAAATATTAAAAAATAAAATTAAATATTTAAATCAATTAAAAAAACAAAGTCAACCAAAGTTAACTCGGCAAACTCAGGTGATAAGACTGACATAACCTCATAGAAAGCAAATAAAAAATAATTATAAAACTTAATTCTCAATCAATTAATCTTGAAGAATGAAATTAAAAAAAATCAATTAAAAAACATAAAAAAAAAATGATTCAAATCAACTAAATTAACATGCCAAAGCTATGACCTGAATCCTGAGATCATGATAATCTCATTCAAAGCAAATAAAAAAAATATTATAAAGTTTAATTCTCAACCAACTCAATATTGAATCATGAAATTAAAAAAACATCAATTAAAAGAAAGAACAAAAAACACAACTAGAGTAAACTCAAGTTAACCTAATAAACCAAAGTTATGAGATCAAGATAATCCTATAAAAATAAAATAAAAAAATTGTAAAATTTAATTTCTAATCAATTCAATGATAGTAGAAGATGATACACACATAAAATTGAATAAATCAAAGGAAAAAATATTTTGCTAGGTTGCTATTATTAAAAATACTATGCAAAATAAATATTTTTTTATTTTAAAAAATAAATTTCAATTACATAAAACTTAAAAAAGAAATTATAGATGAATTATAAAAATATCTTTAAAAATTAAATACATACAAAATACTTAAAAAAAACCAACCACCATTTAAAAAAGGCTAAATAAAAAATTAGAAAAAAATAGGTATTAATTTAAATATAAATCAAGAAATTATTTTTAAAAAATACATATAAATAAATGATTATTTTTAAGTCAAAATTACTAAAAAAAAGAATAAAAAAAGGCCTAGAGCCACTAGGCCTGACCCATTTAGAAGGGTTTGCAAGTAGGCCTGGATATTAGCTCTTTTTTTTAGAAAAAGAAATTATAAATGAGGTGGATAACATGTTATCCATTCTAATTTGTTTTGAAAAAAATAAGTTAGACGATATATTATCTGACTTTGCTAAGACTCTAGCCACTGAGATGATCGGAAAATCGAGGTTGAAGGGTTTTTTTTTTATCTAAAAACCTATTTTTCAAACTATTTTTTATATTCAAAACACCTGAAAAACATTATAGGCATCTTAATAAATCTATCAATGGCCTAAAAAACTATCCAAAAACTCAAAATCAACCCGAAAAAAAAAAACTTTCTAAGCTCAAATAAGTCTTTTATAACTTTGCCCAGATTTTGATTAGTATAATGGCTAGAAAATCAGAGATGAAGGGTTTTTAACCCAAAATATATTTTTCAACTCCTTTTTTATATCTAAAACACCTAAAAAATTTCTAATGAATCTTGATAAATCAATCAATGGCCTCAAAAAATCATTTTAAAACTCAAAATCAACTTGAAATAAAATTTTTTCTTGAATTTAGATCTATCTTTAGTCATTTTCAAGGTATAAAAAAATATCTAAGTTAATTTTTTTTAATAAAATGAAATCATTTAATATAAAATTAATTATTTTAATAGTCAAAAGTAATACCAATGGTATTTTTCTCTCTCTAAGTTTTAACCATAACTTTCATTAATTGTATTTTAAGAATAAAGTTATAGTTTGGCTGACTCATGATGAGGAGGGATGGATATTCTTTATAGCATACTTAAAGCAATATAGAAAACATTACCTTTGAGTTTTAGAAACAGGTACTAGGAACGTGCCGTGCTATGTTGTGGGTTCATATATTTTTTTTATAAAAGATAAAGTTTAAGTGATGAAAATATATTTTAGAAAAATAAAAGAAATTATCAATTCAAGTTATAACACTGACTTTTATTTTTGCTAGACGATGAAAAAAGATAATAATATATTAATTGCACATTTTTTTAAAATATTATAATAACTTTAAAAAAACAATTGGAGCACAAAATTAGAATAAAAAAGTTGATCGAGTTAACAAACACTAAAAACATAACAAGGGGAAAATTAACTACATAGAAGATCTAAAATAAAAAATAAAAAATAAAAAAATAAAAATAAAAATAAAAATAAATTAGAGTGGAACTAATTTTTTTTGATTGTAGGTTAAACTAAAATTAAAAATAACTCAAACAAAAAGAAATTAAAAAATAATAAGAATAAAATAAAAAACAAATAATACATCATAAACCTGAATTGAATGGTAATATTAAAAACCAATAAAAATTTTACAAAAAAGTTAAGGAAAAAAATAAAAAGTCTAAATAATAAGGATAAAATAAAAAAAGGAATAATGAAAAAAAAAGTCCAAATAATAAGGACAAAATAAAAAATGAATATATGAAAAATCAAAATCAAAAGACTAAATTGAAATAAAAAACACATATACAAAAGGGCAAAGAAAAAAAAAAGGAAACACAAATAAAAATTAAGGATAAAATTAAAAACAATAAAACAAATTAAACTTGAATTAAAGGTTGAAATTGAAGAAAAAGAACTGTCATAAAAAGGTCATCTAAAAAAATAAAAAATAAAAAAATAAGAATGAAATTGGAAAGCATAATATATTATAGATTGAATTTGAAGGAATAAATTAAAAAAAATAAATTTTTTTATAAAAAATCAAGAATAAAAAGAAAGGATAGAAGCACAAATATCAAAAACAAAAAACATCAATATGCAATTTTTTAGGGGCAGAGAAAAAAGAAGAAGAGGTCCACTACGCATGGCTGCTGTGTTGTTGACGAGAGGATAAAAGGTGATCGTAGAGTAATTGCTGGGGTTGGTTCGTTGGTAAAGGATTCTGACAAGGTGAGGGAGATCAAGAATTAGGGTTTTTGTATTGATAGAAATACAGAAAAACTCCAATCAAATTACATGATCTTGTGTATCAAATTCCTTACCAGTTTTTTATTGGAAATTTATAAATCTATGGAAGATTGAAAGGTGCACCGGAGATGTTGGAAATATCTCTTAAAAACAAAGCTCGTGGGGGCATGAGTTTTAAAGAAGTCGAGTCTTTCAATAAGGCCCTTCTATAAAAAAAGTGTGGGCATCTCAAGAATAGTTGTCAAAGTAAGTTGGTTCGGAAAGAAGTTCTAGACCCGTTTGGAAATTTTGATTTTTTAAAATTAATTTTTTATATTTTTGAATTGTTTTATTGTGTTTATATTAAAAAAATTTAAAAAATAATAAATATTATTTTAACATATTTCTAAATAAAAAATATTTTAAAAATAATTATTGTTGTATTTATAGCCGGAATATCAAGTAAGGCTGTTTATGATAAAAATATTAAAGTTTGAGATTCTAAACTTGATGTCATATGGAATTTTTTTTGTTATTTGATAATTAGGTTCAGTTAAAAGGGTAGCGGCTAAGCTTTTTTTTTTTTAAGAAAAAAATCAATGAGAATTTATAACATTTAATATAAAGAGTTATTAGTTTAAAAATAATGATAATTTTGTGTGTATATATATATATATTTAATTGATTTTTTGGCATGTTTGTGAGAACATAAAGTGTTATTATAAATTATATATATATTTTAAATAGAAATAAAATGATGAAACTACATAATGTTGAAGGTAATTTCTACTTTACAAATTTTTATAGAAACTTTCTATTGTATCTAAAATGTCCTTAATTTTTAAACGTTGATGCTTGTGAAAATTCATTAAAAAGTATGAATAAACTCAATTGTGATGTGTGTGTGACCCAACCCCCTGCTCTTGACAGGGAGCCTCTGCTGCCCAATGCGATTTCGATATCCCTTTCATTTCCTTTGACTTTTTCTGCACCAAAAGTCCATCTTCTTTACAATGTAAGAAAAAGATCCGTAAGAAAATCGGAAACCTACCAGTACGAATTCTTGACCTAAAGAAACCGGACAAAAATTCGAAGTCATTGGAATAAAAAGAAAGAAAAGGGCTTTGGAGGTTGGTTACTAAGATACCAGAAGAATAGACAAATATTGGGCTTGGCTGGATCTTGTGCCTCTTTAGCCAACACTTACCACACGGTTTATTGCTATAGGGCTTTTAATGGCTTCCACCAGCGTGCAAGGAATAACCTCATCTTCATCTCCTCCTCCTCCACAATATATGTATGATGTGTTCCTTTGTTTTAGAGGCAAAGAGACCCGGGAGAACTTTACTAGTCATCTATATTCTAATCTGGCACAGAGAGGCATCGATGTGTACATGGATGATAGGGAGCTCGAGAGAGGAAAGACCATCGAACCTGCTCTCTGGAAGGCCATCAAAGAATCAAGGTTTTCTGTCATTATATTTTCAAGAGATTACGCTTCTTCACCATGGTGCTTGGACGAACTTGTCAAGATTGTTCAGCGCATGAAAGAGATGGGCCACACGGTTTTGCCAGTTGGATCCCTCAGAGGTAGCCGAGCAAAAAGGGCAATATGAGAAAGCCTCAGTTACATAAAACATAAATTATAGATGCTTAATAATTAAATACATATAAAATATATATTTTTAAAGATAACAACTATGCATCATTTAAAAAAACTGAAGTAAAAAATAAAAAATAAATCAAAAAATTATTTTTAAAAATACATATAAAAAATTATTCAAAAACCAAAAAAATAAAAGAAAAGGGCATGACACAGCTAGATTTGACCCATTTGAACGGTCGGTGAGCTCTTTTAAAATAAAAATGTAAATGGGGTAGATGACATATCATCCATTTCAATGTTTTTTTTAATTTTATTTTTATAGTTAGACAACACATTATCTGACTTTGCCTGGATTTCGGGCACTATGGTAGTAGGAAAGTCGGGGCTAAAGGGTTTTTGATCTAAAAGCTTATTTTTCAAACTATTTTTTTATTCAAAATATCTGAAAAATACTCTAGACATCTTAATAAATCCATCAATAACCCTAAAAAATCATCCCAAAACCTAAATTCAACCTGAAACAATTTTTTTTTCTAAACTCATATGAGATTTTTTAGGACTTTGTCCAAATTATGGTCACGATAGTGGTTGGAAATTCATATCTGAAAGGTTTTTTACTTTAAAAAAATTTTTCAATCCATTTTTTTATTTAAAACACATAGAAAACTCCCTATGCATGTACCTTGGTAAATCCATTCATGACTTTAAAAAACCATCCTAAAACCTGAAATCAACCCGAAACAAAAATTTTTCTTGAATTTTAGATATATTTATTTAGTCATGTTCAAGGTATAAAAAATATATAAATTGAACTCCTCTTATCAAATAAAATTATTTAATAGAAAAATTGATTGTTTTAATGATCAAAATCCGATCATTTAACAAAAAAATTAATTATTTTAATGATCAAAAATCCGATAATATAAGGGATGAATGTTTTTTTATAGCATACTTGAAGCAATTTAGAAAACATGACCTTTGAGTTTTAGAAACATACACTAGGCACGGAACCATGCTATATTACAGATCTATATTTATTTATGATTTATCTTTTTATTAGTTTCTTCAATTGATCTCTATGTTTCTCTTATATAAATTTATTATATTAATTTTGGTGTATTTCTTTTAAAATATCATGAAAACACCTTATAAACCATATAAATCATATTCAATGTTAATTAGTTTAAAAATCATAAATCAAATCGAATCAAAACAAAATTTATAGGTTCCATTCCACTTTTTTCAACATATTTGAATGGCAAAACCATTTTCATGACACTCTATCTAAGACAAACTCACTAAACTCTCAATCTATTTTTTCCGAGATTCGTCCCAGGAAATATTCCTAGAGGACTCCAAGGGATCATAATTCTCTCTATCCAGGCTGCTTCCTGTAGATGCCTACTTTCCCCTTTCACCATCAGGGAGATCTAAGGACATTGCCTAAACTAGCCCACGCGAGCCTTTCCAAGTAACACATTCAACTCATATTTTCATTGCCTATCTTGGATACGTGTCTTGGGGACATCCGATGAATCCACATTCTTCCCTTACCCTTGAGGCTTGCAAAGTTGAAGAACTCTATATCTAAGAGCATCTACGAGGGAAAAAGCTATTTAGAAGAATCAAATTGATAATATAACTTTTAAAATAGTATAAATATAATATTTTTTTAGTATATGTACTCCAATAAAAAAAAACCATTTAAAAAAGTTAATTATATTTTAATATATTTGGTATTAATACAACTATTATATTTAATTATAACTAACTAATAAAACTCCAATAAAAACACCTCTTTTGCATAAAGATTTATTAAACAAACATTAGGGTATTTTGACAGATATATAAGAATAACTCTCTAACATAAAAATGTTATTTTAACTCTCCAATATAACTCCCTCTAAGTGAACGTTTGATAACAAGGTTGCATATGTATTTAGTTTAAAATATAAATACAATCTACTTGATAAAAAAAAAATACAATTATTATATATAGACCCTACATGTTTTTGCGTATGAGGCGCAAAGAAAACAAGCAATAAAATAATGCTTTTACTTATTGTTTATGTTAATTACAGTGTAATTAACATAAACAATATAAATTAGTATATTGTTCATGTGAATAGTGTAATTCACTTGTATTGTTCACGTGAATTTTTTTTCTAATGTGTTAATTTTTTTAGTAGTTTTTTTTAAAAAAAATTAATTTAAAGTGAATTAAATTCACTCATACTGTAATATGAACAATATTTTTTTTCAAAAAACTAGAATAAAGTGAATTAAATTTACTCATATTGTAATATTAATTTTATACCTGATAATATTTTATCTAATTTTATTACATGCTCAAAAAATTATGAAAATTATAGTTCTTATCGGATGAATTTTATATGTAATGGAATTATAAATAGTTTAATGGAATAATAAAAAATATTTTATATAAAGTATTATTTATTTCATGATATAATAGGAATAATTAATTCTACAATATTTAAATTTAAAACCATGAATATTAATATATATTTTTTAAATTATTTTATAACCTCAATTTCAAAAGAATTCTAAACAAATACATTAAATTATTTTTTCTTCAATCTTAATTTTAACTACAGTTTTAATCAAATATCTTTTTTTTCAAACTAATCTTAACTAAAAATATTTTTTATAAAATATTTTTTTTAAATCACAATTACAATAATTACCACAATTTCAAATATAAAAATAAAGAATAAATATAAAAATGAAGAATGAAAGCTTTTTTTTGTCCATTTTTTTTTTGCTCTCCGTGTAGACATGGCCCAAGAATCATTCAATTTTTCTTGGAATTGTATCCATAATGTAGCACAGGTACACTGACAAGATTGAATGTGTATCTAGAAAGGGTTCTAAGAAACTAATATGGCTTATTTTAGCACACCAAACTAAATATTAGGATTTTTTTTCTGTATTAATTGCTTAATTGCTTGGCTTGAGAATTCATTAAAAAATATGAACAACTCAATTGTGATGTGTGTGGCCTAACCCCTGCTCTTGACAGGAAGGTGCCTCTGCTGCTCTATGCGCGTTCGATATCCCTTTCATTTCTTTTGACTTCTTCTCCACCAAAAGTCCATCTTCTTTACAGTATAAGAAAGGGATCCGTAAGAAATCCAGGAAACTTACCAGAACGAGTTCTTGATCTAAAGAAACCGGAAGAAATTCGAAGTCACTGGAAAAAAGAAAGAAAGAAAAGGGCTTTGGAAGTTGGTTACTAAGATACCAGAAGGAGAAACAAATATTGGGCTTGGCTGGATCTTGTGTCTCTTTAGTCAACACTTACCACACAGTTTGTTTCATCTAGATTCGTGTAATACTTGTAGAAATTTGGTGTTTTCTGATTTCTAAGTAGAATTGTACATGTTCCAGCTTGAAATTGCTAATTGTTAGATTTAATTTCCGAAATTTCTTGATCTTACCTTTTGTTTCATGTTTGACCACAGGAGCAGGCCTTGTACAAAATAGCGTGGAAAGCAATTGCTGAACCAAGCGAGCAAGTTGAGGCTAGTAGGGATCGGTACTAATTTATTGCTATAGGGATTTTCATGGCTTCCACCAGCGTGCAAGGAATAACCTCATCTTCATCTTCTCCTCCTCCTCAATATATGTATGATGTGTTCCTTAGTTTTAGAGGCAAAGACACCCGGAACAACTTTACTAGTCATCTATATTCTAATCTGGCTCAGAGAGGCATCGATGTATACATGGATGATAGGGAGCTCGAGAGAGGAAAGACCATCGAACCTGCTCTCTGGAAGGCCATCGAAGAATCAAGGTTTTCTGTCATTATATTTTCAAGACATTACGCTTCTTCGGTATTTTCAAAACATTACGCTTCTTCGCCATGGTGCTTGGATGAACTTGTCAAGATTGTTCAGTGCATGAAAGAGATGGGGCACACCGTTCTGCCCGTTTTTTATGATGTGGATCCCTCAGAGACATATGAGGAAGCCTTCGGTGAGCATGAACAAAATTTCAAGGAAAACTTGGAGAAGGTCCGGAACTGGAGAAAAGACACAACAAGAAGGAGAAAAGAAGCTTGCAAACCTAAAAATTTTAACATTATTATATAAAACTGAAAACTGAAAATATTAACATAAATAAATTTTGATTTTAAAAGTTTAAAATTTAAACTTTAAATTATATCTTTAAACTTTCGTATTACTTCATTAATTTTATAAATTACTCATCATATTAATTGTATAATTAATAACATGATTATATTATATAAAAAATAATTAAACTAGTTATATAATTATATTAAAATTAGTTTAATATAAAATATATTAAAATATAATCAGCTTTTCTAAGTGAGTTTTTAGTATTGAAATGTATATAAATAAATAAAAACTATATTTATATTATTCCAAAAAACATTTTACCAATTTAATTTTCAACTTTTAAAAATAGCATGTCTTATTGAAGATGCTCTTGTGCAGAATTATACAACTGGACAGGAATGTGCCTCTGCCACCCAGTGCAACTCAAATTTCGATATCCCTTTCATTTCTCTGTTTGCTTTTTCTCCACCGAAACTCCATCTTCTTTACAGCGTAAGAAAAAGATCAGTAAGAAAATACAGGAAACTTACCGGTACGAGTTCTTGACCTTAAGTAATCGGAAGAAATTCGAAGTCACTCGACTTACCGGTACGAGTTCTTGACCTAAAGTAATCGGAAAAAATTCGAAGTCATTGGATTAAAAAGAAAGAAAAGGGCTTTGGAAGTTGGTTACTAAGATATCAGAAGAAGAAAAAATACTGGGCTTGGCTGGATCTTGTGCCTCTTTAGCCAACACTTACCACACGGTTTGTTTCGCCTAGATTCGTGAAATACTCGTAAAAATTTGGTACTTTCTGATTTATAAGTAGAATTGTACATGTTCCAGCTTGAAATTGCTCATGGGTAGATTTAATTGCCGAATTTCTTGATCTTACCTGCTATTTCATGTTTGACCACAGGAGCAGGCCTTGTACAAAATAGCGTGGAAAGCAATTGCTGAACCAAGCGAGCAAGTTGAGGCTAGTAGGGATCGGTACTAATTTATTGTTATAGGGATTTTCATGGCTTCCACCAGTGTTCAAGGAAAAACCTCATCTTCGTCTTCTCCTCCTCCACTATATATGCATGATGTGTTCCTTAGTTTTAGAGGCAAAGACACCCGGAACAACTTTACTAGTCATCTATATTCTAATCTGGCTCAGAGAGGCATCGATGTATACATGGATGATAGGGAGCTCGAGAGAGGAAAGACCTTCGAACCTGCTCTCTGGAAGGCCATCGAAGAATCAAGGTTTTCTGTCATTGTATTTTCAAGACATTACGCTTCTTCACCATGGTGCTTGGATGAACTTGTCAAGATTGTTCAGTGCATGAAAGAGATGGGGCACACTGTTCTGCCAGTGTTTTATGATGTGGATCCCTCAGAGGTAGCCGAGCGCAAAGGGACATATGAGAAAGCCTTCGTTGAGCATGAACAAAAGTTCAAGGAAAATTTGGAGAAGGTCCAGAACTGGAAAGATTGTCTCGCTACAGTGGCCAATCTATCAGGCTGGGACGTGCGGGATAGGTAATCATCTATCTACTTATTCTTATTTTCAAATCCTCCCTGTATTGTTTCAAGGGCTCATTCATACCTTATTTTTTGTGATAAACAAAAGGAAAGAAAAGTGGCTGGCTTATCTATAGAACATACAAGCTAGTAAGTCGTCCCACCTTATTTAAGCACGAGCAACGGCTTACGACACCCAAAAAAGGCTTTCATTGATATTTTCTGATTCACCACGAAATGATTTACCTCCCAAGGTGGCATGTGTGGAGTAAATTTTTTCTTTTATATTTGATTTATGTTTTTTTATTGATCTTTTTTATTTCAATTATTTTATAAAATTAAATTTTGTTTTTAATTTTTTAATTTATTAGATTTGATTCTTTTTTTTTAATTAGTATTTATTTGACGTGAGATTATTTTTAATCTTTTTTTATGATTTTATTCTTTATTTTTTATTATTATGTTTTTTTACCTTGACGAGTTATATATATATATTAATTTTTATTTTATATTTTAATATTGATTTAGGTTTTTTAGTTTAGTCTAAATCTAGAATTTAATGGATTGAGAATTTAAAATATTAATCTAGGTTTGGAAGATTTGTCAAGGGTTTTTTTTTTTTTTTTTATAAGCCATGTTAATGTTAAAGTTTAACTGTTTTTATTTTATATTTTAATATTGATTTAAGTCTTTTAATTTAGTCTAGATCTAGAATAATTTAATGGATTGAGAATTTAAAATATTAATCTAGGTTTGCAAGATTTGTCGAGGGTTTTTTTTTAATAAGCCATGTTAATGTTAAAGTTTGACTGAATACATATCAGTATTAACACTGCATATGTTAACACTGCATGATTAATGTTTTGCACCCTCCTATGCAGGAATGAGTCGGAATCAATTAAAATAATTGCTGAATACATATCGTACAAACTAAGCGTCACTCTGCCAACAATTAGCAAAAAATTAGTTGGAATAGATTCTCGTGTAGAGGTATTAAATGGCTATATAGGGGAAGAAGTAGGCAAAGCAATCTTCATAGGGATCTGTGGGATGGGTGGCATAGGTAAGACGACTGTTGCAAGGGTAGTATATGATAGGATTCGTTGGCAATTTGAAGGCAGCTGCTTCTTAGCAAATGTCAGAGAAGTTTTTGCTGAGAAATATGGACCACGCCGTTTACAGGAACAACTTCTTTCTGAAATCTTAATGGAACGTGCTTCTGTATGTGATTCTTCTAGAGGGATTGAGATGATAAAGCGGAGGTTACGACTTAAAAAGATTCTTCTTATCCTTGATGATGTAGATGACAAAGAACAACTAGAATTCTTGGCTGAGGAGCCTGGATGGTTTGGTCCAGGGAGCAGAATTATCATAACTAGCAGAGATAAAAAAGTGGTACCTAGAAATAATAATAATAAAATTTATGTGGCTGAGAAATTGAATGATGATGATGCTCTTATGTTGTTTAGCCAGAAAGCTTTCAAAAATGACCACCCTGCTGAAGATTTCGTGGAACTATCCAAGCAAGTTGTGGGTTATGCAAATGGCCTTCCACTGGCTCTTGAAGTTATTGGTTCGTTTTTGTATGCAAGAAGTATCCCTGAATGGAGAAGTGCAATTAATAGAATGAATGAGATTCCTGACGGCAAAATCATTGATGTGCTTCGCATTAGTTTTGATGGTTTGATGATAGAGGAATCCCTCATGTTTGTATTGATGGTTGAAATTGTGTTAAAGATTTAATTAAACTTTTTATAATTGTTTTTTCTTAAAAAAACATTTTATATTTAATCCAAGAGGTTGGGTTCATTTTATATTAGAAATTATAAATTAATAACAACAACATTATTATTATTGTTATCAATAAAGATTAAAATTAATAAAGAAATAAAAGACCAAAGATCGAAGCCTAGATATATTTTTGTTTCAAAAAAATTGATTTCAATTTAAGACTGATTAATGTGTATTTGCCTTATAAAAGCATCAAATTAATGTTTTTTTAATATTTTTCAATAATTTTGATGTATTAATATTAAAAAATAAAAAAAGTCTAAAAAATATTTTAATACATTCTAAAAAAATCACTTTTAAAAATAACTTTGCACCATGATATACTAAGCATGCACTAAATATCAAATAGGCTCTAAAGATCCAAAATACTAAGCTTACAGGGCACAAGTTTTTAAAGAAATTGAGTCTTTCAATAAGGCCCTTCTATAAAAGTAGTGTCGACAATCGACATATCATGAATAAACCGAACGATTTGTGTAGCAGTGTGCTTAAAGAGATTTATTTCCACATAGCATAATTTTTAAAAGCAAAAGAGATTGGAATTAATATCCTAAAAAGTTGGCTGGGAAAGTGTAAAGATGACAGATTTACATAACAATAAACAGAGAACTAAGCAGGGAAGTAAAGTGAAACACAGAGAATGACAAGCACTAGTATATTAAAAATTATAAATCAATAATAACAACGTTGTTATTATTATTATTATTATTATTGTTATTAATCAAGATTAAAATTAATAAAGAAATAAAAAACCGTGATGTTTTACTATAGATAGATCGAAGCCTAGGTCATATTTTTTTTTTATTGTTAATAGAAGAATTGATGCATGTGACATCAAGAATTATATACAAAAATAAATGTTAGAATATAAAATTGATGTGAAGTAAAGACTAAATCAAGAAAAACTGAAAGATAAATATAATTTAAAATATTTGAACGACTTTTGCTTTTTTGCGGACTTTATCAAGGTTTTTGGTTTCCTGATTTTGACCAACTGAACGAGTTTGTTTTGAATTGATTTTTGGTTTTTTCAAAAAATTATTGTTTCTGGTTTGGTGAATTTCTTAGATCTAAATTGGATCGATCCGGAACATGAACACCCCTGGTAATCACCTTGGCTGTAACTTCAACCACCCAACTACCTCAAAATTGCAATCACATCAGGCACATGGCGTTGCATCCGCATTCATCCCCTGACTATGAAATGGATTTCCTGGAAATTGATCTCCTTGGTCTGCAGGAACCCTAATTAAATGAAATGGATTTCCTGGAAATTGATCTCCTTGGTCCACAGCCTATTTTCTCCGAGACCATGCAACATGTTGAAAAACTGAAAGATAAAAACAATTTAAAATATTTGATCTCTTGTAACCAAAAAAGTTAACTTTCATCATTCGTGAACTTTTGACTAAATTTCTCGTTAGCTTTTTTATGCTGTACCACTGAGATGATCTCTTATGCTCTTTTATGTGAATTGAAATTAGATTAGATGTTTATAATTGATTCATTTCATTTTTATTTTTATTTTTATTTTTATTTTATTTTTGAAAAGTAAACTTCCATTAGTTAGATAGTTTTTTCTTGGCTATTTTGTTTTGCATGCTTTAATCTTTTTTTTTTTTTGATTATCCTTGCTGATAATATCAAATCATCCTTTTGCTATTTTGCAGACTTTTTCAAGGTATTTGGTTTCTTGATTTTGACCAAACTGGATTATTTTGAATTGGTTTTTGGTTTTTTCTAGATTTTTTTTTTTCAAAAAATTATTGTTCCTGGTTTGGTGAATCTTTTCTCCAAGACCGTGCAACCAAGATACTGTTTGATTTAATATTTTTTTAATCTTTTTGGATTTTATATTTTTTTCTGGATTCGTAGCTATCTTTCCATTTTGTTTTAGGATAATAATGTTCTACTATGTTAAGGTCAATTTCACGCCTATATGAAGACTTGTAAATATCCAGAGAGACAAAAGTTATCTATTCATTATTTCACAAATAAAAATAAGATCTTAGGATTCTTCGTGTTTTAATAAAAAAGTTATCCTTGTAGGGCTTTCAACTATATCAAAAAGTCTATCCATAATTTTCATTAATTGTATTTAAGAATGGAGTTATAATTTGACCTATAAAAATGACGGATGAATGCTCTTTATAGCATACTTCAAGCAATTTTGAAAAATGACCTTTGAGTTTTAGATAATTAGACTCAGTTAAGAGGGTGGTGGCTCAGTTTTTTTTTTAAAAAACAAATCAATGTAAAATTTATAATATTTAATATAAGAGCTTTATAATTATTAGTTTGAAAATAATAATAATTTTGTAAATTATTAGATGTTTTTTGTTGATATTTTTGAAAATACTAATAATTTTATAAATTATTACGTGTGTTAGGGAGGACATAAATTGTCATCATAAACTATAATTTCTGAAAAAATAAAGATAAAATAACTAAACTACACAATGATCAAGTAATTTATCCTTTTAAAAAAATATCATAGAAACTTTTTATTGTATCTAAAATGTCCTTATTTACTTTTTGAAAAAGATAGTCATAGGAAAAACTTAAAAGATTAGAGAAATAAACATGATTATTTAATTTAATTTTGTTTTTGATATTATTTTCTTAAAAATATTTCTATAAATTCTTATTATTTTCATTTTAACTATTTTTATCTAAAAAATAATTAAGGGCGTTATATGTATTAGAATATGTTCCTATAAAATAGCCAAATTTTTAAATATTTCTTACAATTTTACAATATTAATACACCGTTTTAAAAATTTTGTTGAAAAGTTGTCGGGATGCAAAAGCTTTATGCGCTGGAAAAGAGACAAAAGTAGTTAAAGAATATGTATTTTAAACGACTCCAAGCAGTATATGAACAAAAGTTGCTGGAACGCTTGACTTGAGAATTCATTAAAAAATATGAATCAACTCAATTGTGATGTGTGGGGCCAATCCTTGCTCTTGACAGGAAGGTGCCTCTGCTGCCCAATGCGCGTTCGATATCCCTTTCATTTCTCTTTTCACTTTTTTCTCCACCGAAAGGCCATCTTCTTTACAGTGTAAGAAAAAGATCCGTAAGAAAATCCAGGAAACTTACCGGTGGGAGTTCTTGACCTAAATAAACCGGAAACAATTCGAAGTCATTGGAATAAAAAGAAAAGAAAAGGGCTTTCGAAGTTGGTTACTAAGATACCAGAAGTAGGAGAAATATTGGGTTTGCACTTAGTGTTCAAGTTATGGTGGCTACATTATTGAAGAGGTTGGATTCAGTTTTGCTATACAAGCACTACTATATTAAACATTATTAATTAAGATTAATAATAACATTATTATTATTATTATTATTATTATTATTATTATTATTATTATTAAAACTAATAAAGAAATAAAAGACCATGATGTTTTACTATAGATAGATCGAAGCGTAGATATATTTTTGTTTCAAAAAATTGATTTCAATTTAAGACCAATTAAATTGGATTATAATAGATTTTGAAGTTAGAAGGAGGTGGAAATGATGAAAAAAGGTGTTTGGATGCCACATGGCCCTTGATTTTCTGACTATCGAAGAAACCATAAGCACAACATGTTCTTGCAATAATATGCGAGCACTGTTAACTTTTGTTTAGGTTGAAGAAATATTTTTTTATTGTTAATAGAAAAATAAATGTTAAAATATTGATGTAAAGTAAAGACTAAATCAAGAAAAACTGAAAGATAAATATAATTTAAAATATTTGATCTCTTGTAACCAAGAAATTAACTTTCATCATTCATGCACTTTTGACTAAATTTTTCTTTTGCTTTTTTATGCTGTCCCACTGAGATGATCTCTTATGCTCTTTTATGTGAATTTAAATTAGATTAGATGCTTATAATTGGTTCATCTTATTTTTATTTTTATTTTATTTTTGAAAAATTCAGTGAGCTGGACCAGTGGTATGATGAGACCATGTTTCTGTACGATAATATGGCTTTTTATTCTTTTGTGTGAATAAAAATAATATCTAAAAAGAACAAAACCCTTAAATATCAAATCTTTATATGTTTGAATATCTAAAAAGAAGAAAAAGAAAAAAAATTTAAACTTTTTTCCTCTATTTAAAAAGGGGAAAAAAAGCAATATATATAGGTCATTTCTTTTCCTTGTTTTGTTACTGGGAGAGCAGTTAGATCACATTAAAGCAAATAATTCATCAATCATAATCAACACTTTAAACAAAGCATGCAAGCACACCATGAATATTAATTTGTAGGTAAAAAAAATTAAAAATAATGTGTAAATTGAGATGGAGAGCTAAATATATAAAAATACCAAAAAATTGAAAGCTGCATTCAAATTTTGAACATCTAAAAGGGATCTTGTGTGCGACCATTTTCATGTCACTATGCACGACAGAAAAAAAAGAGCATGCTATATTCATACATCAATCAAAGAATGTGTGGATCCAAGGAGAACAATGAACATCTAAAAGGAGTTTGAAAGTGATGAATTAAGATTTTATCTGTATATTTTTATAAAAATTCAAAAGAAAGATTTATAAGTTTAAATTTCTAGGAATATAAACATGTCTCGATAAAAATTTGTCAATTTTGACATTAGTCAAATCTTAGCATATTGATTTTGATAAAATGTCAAGTCCCGGTGATAGCATGGAATAACATTCCTTTCTTCCCTATCATATTTCATCAAATATTAATATAGATGTAAGAGATATTTATCTATCATTAAATATTAATTATAAAATTTTTTTTTTTTAAAAAAAACTCATGAGCTATAAATATGAAAATGAGATTTTTAGAATGGAGGTTCACATTTTTTTTTATTGGATATATAATTTTAAAGCATTTCTCTCTATAATATTATTTTATTTTTATCTTAAA